AATATAGTCACACTGCTGCATGTATGATTTTTAACATAATAAATTTTGATATAAGCAACAATCGAATTGTAACCTGAGTGTTTCTAATCTAATGTGAAATCACATCGAATATATATTCCATAAATCAATAAAAAATTGATACTTGAATTGTTCGTTTTCAACGTGAAAAAGATTTTTAATAAAGGACTAATTAATCATTTATGAAGTGTTATTTTACTTTTCGAAATAATGTGCGCATCGCAATTTGACGGGATAAGCAGTAGGGCGCGTAGTTAGTACGTCTATGTTCTAACCATTAGCGCACGTACATGCGCGTACAAGTAGATCTGTCAAACGAACGAACTGTATTTGCATTCTTCTACTTTGTGATATTCATAGTGCTTAGATTGTATAAAATTATATATAAAATATTATTAGTAGTGTCCTTTTCTGCGGTCATAAGCTGATGTGATTTTTTCGTACTTTATCGTAACTTATCACTTTCAATATTGTTTGCTGTGTAATAAGGGCGTCAAAAGTATAAAAAGTGAATTAACAATGTCAAAGTACGCGTCATTAAGTTCGTTGACACGAATTTTTAGTCGGTCTAAGATAAATACTCTTTAATCCGCGCAAATTGAAACGATATTTAGTTGATTTTCATTTATGCTTCATTCTATACCTCGCTCATATTAAAAGGTTCTGAAAATACAACGAATTTGCCGTTCTTTTATACTCTTTCGCAAGCATCTCGAATATTAATTATACATTACAGAATGTAAGATAACCTTCAACGAATTTTGTAACAACATACGCTTTTAAACTTTATTTAATTGCGCTATGTATAAAAAAGCATAAATTCCGTATCAAATTAAAAACGAAATAATTTAGTGATTTACTTTTAAACATAACAGAGATATGTTTGAGGAGCTGTATTAGTACAAAAATCAACATGGTGCGTGTAATCACAGTGCATAATTTTTTGGGACAAAACATCACCCAAATTGAGGAGCCAACTGCAAGCTGTATAGCAAATGCATCTGGGCGTGAAATGCTCCTTTTAGCACTTTCAACACATTGTGTTGAAGTGTGGGAATTGACGATGTCTAATATAAAACTACATACTGTTTTTCCAACAGTTGATATGATTAATCAAATGGTGCATTGCACCAAAGGAGATTATGTTGCTACATTAGAATCAAAATTATCTAGGGATGCAAGTCCTAATAATCATACAGGGAAATCAATAAATAATTTTGTTAGAATTTATGTTAATTGGGCTATGGTGAAAGATCAAAGTCAACCTATGCGTGCTAGAATTGCAGGACGTGTCACTCCAAGTTTAAATCGACCATTAAATACCTTAGAGATGATAGAGCTGCCATTAAGTATACAGCCCACATCAATTGCTTGTTGTCAAAGTACGGGCAATCTTCTAGTTGCCTTAGGAAATAGTGCTATCTTGCATGAATTCAAAATTGAGACACAACAAGTATCAAAGATGAAATTCATAGATTTTGAGGCAAGACCATGGTCCCTAGGATTCTCATTTTGTCCTACACATATGGAAATTGTTGAAGATTTCATATCAATTATGGATAAAACAAATTTATGCATTTTTCGGCTGACTAATTCAATGTATGAGGACATTGATCAATTAAGTTCTCTAACTTCTACAAACTCCTCATCTATTGATAAAACATCCATATCTACTGACTCCTCCCTTGTGGAAAATAGCAATAGTATGACAAATCAAGATGACAGTACAATACTACAAGGAACAAATACAAAACGTAAAAGTTCTACTCAAGATCTTAGATTTATTATATCAGAGAACAATGATTCTTGTGGAGTAAGCACAAAATTAAAAAGTAGAAGACATAAAAATTCTAAAACAAGTATATGGAGCAAACTGGAAACAGGAGATTTCAGAAGAATAAAATCCAATAACAACGAAGGTGTTATAAATTTGGATCACTTAATGTACAATGAAAGAGATGAGCTACAGAGATTAATTGATCAAGAAGTTATTGATACAAATTCACAAACACTGACCATCAATTTACCATCTATAAGTTTAGAAAGAGCAGGACCTGGTCATACTCTAAGTCCTTTCATATTGAATCCATCGGATATAAGGATTATAATTAAAACAAGTTCTCCTGATTTGGGATGGTCAGAAAATTATACAATAAAAAATTTGTTATCCCTTAAAATCATGGCAGCTAACAACAATCCTAAACTTGATGGAAGCTCAGAACTATTCAGCTGTTCTTTGCTGAAGCCACTGTACATGAGAAAGGAATGCAATAATTCCTGTTTAAAAAAATCAATCCTCAGATCTGATAAATATACATACTTGCAGGGTGTAAGTTGCTTCCTATGTACCCTACAAGAAGGGTACCTTTATCACTTCTCTGCTACTAGTTCCAATCCTATAGATGCTACGTGTTTGACCACCTATCCATTTACTGCGCCTGTTAATCACGTAGCATTGGAACATAGCGTCTTGCACGCATTGACTGATGCTGGTCTTGAGTCCTATACGTTACGTTTATCTCACCATGTCGCAAGATCGTCGAACGATATGGATGATTTAAGAGCTACATGTCCTAGTGTTTCTGAGCCCATCTGTTTGATCGGACTACGACCATTCTTGGGAATACAACATCTGTTGCATAGCAAAAATTATCTGGTACTCTTAGCCAAAGCTGAAAATTCATGGACTTTATATTCCTTAATTTTACCGAAATTAGAGAACTTATATTACGATATTTTAAACGCGGCGAGAAGCCACAAATCGTCTAGTCCCAGTACCTACCGACATTTATTAGGAGAAGCACATGCTTTGATACGTTTAGCCAAAGATGCTGCGCACAATAGCTCAGAGATTAACGAATCTGACGATACCGCGAATAAAAATGGGTTGAAATTGAGAAACTTGTACAACCAATCGTGCGCGTTACTTGGAGACTATTACATTCGTTCCGAATACGAATCAGACTGGGATTTTTCTATACCTTATTATAAAATGTCAGGTCTGAAGCCTTCAGAAGTACTATCTAGAAAATCCAGTCAAGATGGACCGGGTCTCGTCACATTTTTAACAGATATACTTCTGACAATGAAAAGTGGCTCAGAAGCTGATGCATTGTTCCAAGGATTTAATATTATTGAAATTATTTGTAAATTGAAGAGACCAGACTTGCTGAAATTAATATTCAGTAGTCCTGTACTGCGAGAATATGCTACGGAAAAATTGATACATCTTTTATTATTGTATGAAACGGATGAGTTAGTTAAGTTAGCCTTGGCACTGTTATACATTCAAGCTGAAAAACAGGAACAAGCAGAAAAAATTCTTGAACCAGTCCCAGCGTTATGTATCAAAAGAATAGTTGTAGAACATTGGGACTTATTATTCGATATGACTGCAATGAAAAAGAGAAGTCCAATGATTCCATCATTCTCTGATTTCGCTGGGACGTTGATGCGTCAGAAAAATTCAACGTTTGCTGAGATTTTAATACAATTAATAGAGGAAGATGGGGTTTTGTCTCTTCATCAAATTATACAGGTGTTCTTAGAATATTTACCATCAAGAGTAGGACGGGACGGGCACAATGCGGCGATGACTTTACAAGTATTCCTCGAGAAATACCTTCACAACTATTTTAGTACAAAGTTAATCACGGATTCGTCTATGATAAATAAAAATCAAATACGCACGGATTTCGCTCTGGTCGAGGCGTTTAAGTTATTAGTACGATCGTACTTGGGCAAATTAACTCAAACGAAAGTGTACAAAATAGAGTATAAAGAAAGTGTACAAGAAAGTTGCGACAGCTTCATATTCGCGAAATTTAGACCTCATTATCTAAATAGAATGCCACCGTATGCGAAAGATTACCAAAAAGTCTTGAACATGTGCGATCTAAAAGATTTAACTGATATCGATAAGACTGACTCTGAAAAACCGATACCAACGGAATTGTTTAAATTACAGTCTGTATTATCATGTGATTTTATACCAAACGAATGCTTGTACGAAGTTAAGCAATTTCTTGAAACACAAGAAATTGATGGCAGTTTGTCTTTGAAAACGCTGTGCATTCAAAATACAGAAGAAGTAACTGCACTATTAATGGAAAACTGCCCCCAAGCAGTTGGGCAATATGCCAAGGTACATATTCCATTATTTTATCGAACTTTCAGTTAATAGTATTTACGATAGAATTTCACAAGTGTTGTCAAATTTTAGGATACGTATGCTAAAGACTCTGAATGGAAACACTTAATCGAATTGACGCAAAATAAAATTTCTTCATCGATTGCGCGGGAAGAAATTCATTGTTTATACACGCAAATTATGAAAGGTAAACATTTTTTCACCTGTGTTTTAATAAAAAAAAAAAGATACGTTGGTTCACAGATATCTTTTATGCTAAAGTATACTAAGCTGTATAATAATATAGATATTTTTAACATTCCAGCAATTTTAAATTACCTACCGCATACGTTATCTTTAAAAAGTCTACATCGTGTTCTTCCAAAAGACGACGTAATAGCGTTCCAAAAATGCAGCGAAATGTGTAATCAAATTATGCATGCCGAACATGTTAAATCGTTGATAATGGAAACTGGGCAACAACTTTTATCGACACTAAAGTTGTGAGCGATAGTTTCAACTGATAGATTTCACCGTCGTTCGACGATAGTATAGGTCCAATTTACTTTAGTCGTTTAACAAAGGAAGCATATGACTTAAATGCAACAAAAAGTCAGGTTGCATGGAAATTATATATGTATAGAGGAAATAGATTTGGAACAAGGTATACTTAGTCGAGTTTGTTGAGAACAATAATTCTTCATGTGATAAAACTTTCGCGAAATCTTATTACTCGCAATTTCTCGCTTCAAGTTACTTACTTGACATTTAATATAATTAATGAATTTCTACTTCTGACCACCTTTCGAATATCTTTTTTCACTTTATGAAAAATGAATTTATGAATTATCATGACAATTGCACAATTTGCGATATATCATTCATATCTCGTGATTTGTATAATACTTTTTAAAAGGTGCACGTTTCTTTTGGTCCAATTAATTAATGTGTTCAATTTTTGTTACGATAATCGTAGCCACGCACAAGGTTTTTTATGGATAAGGTTATTCTAACAAAATGTCAAAAATTGAAGACAAATACTATAGATAAAATTAATTCATCATATTATTGATTGTTGAGATATTCTATATAGATATATTGTATTATGTCTAGACGTATGTTATCTTTCCCTTAGCTAATGAAATAGTTAAACCATAATTAATAAAAGTTTATACAGAACCAAGCATATAGATATTAAAATTTTACAGTGTTATATATAATATTTAACATAATAGATTGCTTTATACACTGGAATAAAAAAATTCCGTAGTGGTGATCATGTATTTTTGACTGCTGTTTGAATATTTCTAAGGATTTGTTAAAAATTGTTTATATTTTGACCGCTAAGGGCGGGATGGCATGTGTTTAGAAAAACACATATTACTAAGATAGTTACTTTCTATTATATTCGTTGAACCTATAATGTAGTATTTTCATCACCTTTCTGAATGTTACAAAATATGTAACTTTGATGTGCCTTTAGGACTAATTTCTCTTTGTTATAAATCTAATATAATTATGTTAGAGGTGATCTATGATATTTATAAACTATGATAGAAATAATATATCCGTAACTCATATCAAAACGCTTTTTTATTATGTAATCATATTTTTAGGATACTATTCATTTATTTAAAAAAAAGAAAAATCTCATTAGGTTTGTTTGTTCCGTTCCGCTTTAATATTAACGATTCTTATTTATTTAAAACCACAAACTTAATTATTTTACTCAGGG